ACTGAGTCCACTGTGAGTTCATGGATGTATTCCGGGGTTAAGCGAACTTGAGGAAAGCTGTCGATCATCGTAGGGAGGTTAACCCATAATCCCTGGACGTGAGGCGCTGACCATCGCCATAAGAGGTCACGAATTCCTTGAGAATCTTCCAGGGATTTCCCAGGGAGCTTCCCGTCGATGCCGCCGAAGAAGATCAGTGGGTCATCATCTACAGCGGGGTTGAAACGAGGATGGTAACGAGCTAAGGAAATAGAGAGGGGTTCGTCATAGATTAAGACGTCCTCATAGGTCGGGATCCCTTCGAAGATACGCTGGGATCCCCTAGGGCTCTTGTGGCCTAGCGTAGAGATGCTCGAAATCGTAGTTAAGTACGTAAGGGAAGGTGCATCCGAGAGGATTTGACCTGTCTCCTGCAGCATCGTGAGGTTCGGACCAGGAGGGTTGATCATAATCGGTACAACGCTGCCTTGCGGCGCGCTGACACCCGACTGAGGAAGAGGGATTGGAGCTGGGGCTTTCTGTGAGGATGCCCCAGGCTTGATAGGTTTGGTTTGCGATGTAACCGCCAATTTACCTTTCGCGGAAGGAACCGCTGGGGTGCTAGCACCCTTAGCGCTCTCTTCAACGATCGGTGACGTGGCCGTCGCTTTTCCCTTCGCAGGAGGAACAGCTGAGGTGCTAGCACCTTTAGCGCTCTCTTCCGCAAGCTGAAGGTTTTTGGAGGCTGCTCTAGTTGAGCGGCCGGTAGTTTTGGGTTTGTCGGTGGAGTCAACGAGATCGGCATTGGATTGGGATGGGGTAGCCATGGTAGTGTAGCTGAGAGAGACGGAACTACTGTGTCATTCTCTTAAATACGCGAGTGGCCCCTTAATCGATTGCAAATTTCTTGCCGGCTCGTTGGTACGCTGATCGAGGGAGATCCTTCATCCGAAAGACTCGTGGCATAGCTAAGTCGGAATGAGTCGGTTGGGAGAGGGGTAGACTGAACGGGTGAAGGTGTCGGGTGAAAGATCTCACAGGGGCTAAACGACTACGGTAATCCGGAGGATCTGGATAGCCGAAGGGAGTCGAATAGCCGTGAACGCTGTAGCAGCGCTCCTGGACATCCTCGCGCGAACGCAGGAAGAACTGCGCTCAGCAACGAGTAGGGAATAGGTAATGGTTGGTACACGAGGGAGTCGATGGAGGCGGTATGTAACGCGTCACACTTACAATGGCGTGATCGGAGTACCGCTTCCGAATTCTCCCGAGGCGAGACTTCAACATCGAATGTGAAGTCCGCGGTGCCCCCACCAATGTGAAACCTCAGTGCGTGCGGGGACTTCGTGCGCGTGAAGTCTCGTAGTACCGTAGTTGAATGTTGTAGTATAGTGTCGATGAATAGAAGTAAGTGGAGAGAACGCGACTATTGAGGTCGCGCTCGTCTCCTAGGGTTGCCTAGAAGTCCTAGGCAGACCCTCGTTAACCCAGAGGAAGGGCTCTCGTATCCTGTGGAGGAGGGAGCATTGTAAGGGGGCTCACCCTTGGTCTTACCAGCAGTGGACACCTTAGACTCATCACGCGAGCTTGGTAGCAAGATGATGGTGGTTTAATGTCTACTGGTCATCAAGAATGTACGAACGATATAACTACGCGATTACGTAAGATGTGCCTGCGCGTATCCTCAACTCCGTATCACAAACAGAATATGCATTTTCTGCCGATGGGTCCAAGTTTGCCATGGCTATGAATGGCGGCAGCGTGTCTGTTTGGGATATCCGAAGCAAAGTTCCTTTTAGGACATTCACGGAAACCCCCTGGCCCCGGGATAGTTACTGGCCTCAACGATATCCTCAATTTAGCAGTGGAAATTTTGGAAAAGAAACTCTAGTATTTGTAGAGGTACGTCTTATGTTCACATTCTGACATCCTTACTTCTTAAATAGGTGATCTCAATCCTTAGCACGAGCATGACTCCAATCTTGCAATCATTCATGTGATCGATGCGACGTCGATTGAGACGGAAGAAAGGCTTGTCTTAAAGTATGGAAGTGACTATGTGGGCGCCCCTTTTTTCGATCCAGGCGGGAGAACTCTGTACGCTCAACATGAGGGAACAATCTACGAGTGGGACCTGCGGAAAAGGGAGCCTGGTCCCGAATGGTGGATCGGGGAGGAGTAGAATGTCCGCCTCAACAAACATCCGTTTTATTACGCCATTTGTAGTCCATTAGAATAAGTAACGAGCCTTCAAGCAAAAAGGGAGAAGAGACCGAAATTGGATTGACCTCGGCTTAGGTATCAGCAGCGAATAAACCCTGTGAGTTGTGTTGCTACAGAAAAAGAATCTGTGTGCATGCGCCTTGATATGTTCTCCCCCTGGTTCTTCGGACGAGTGATAGATCATCTATTTGACTACGAACAGTGGTCTCATCAACTATCCGCCACCAACGCTATCAACCTAGCTATCGCTTGCGTTTAAGTAAACAACATCGTACCCAGTCACCCACACACGGAACCACACCGTGTTCCAAATATTTCCCTTAGAGCTCCCTCAGCCATCTCAACGCATCGTTGGTGTTTTCAAGACTCTGCCACGGATCGCTGGAACCCTTCTCCGCTCAAACAGATAATTTTGAATAAACGTCCCTGAACGCAGATGTTCCAATGCATCGAATACAGGTCGTCTGTCTGTTTTTTTTGCAGAATGCTGAGGAGTCGGATCGCAGCTATTGACCTTCTGCGTAGAGTTCCCAGCCCTTTCCGAAGACGTCTTCGACACGTTTTATGTATGTTGGGTTGTCGTTTGATTTGACGGGCCCAGATGATGGCTCCTACTACTGGGGGCAAGTCGCCATTTGGTAGGCTTCGGAGAAGCGGGTTTGTGTTGTGAACTGGTGGTTTCGTGAGTCAATGGTTGGAAATGGATGGGAAAGAGGGAGGAAGAGGGTACCTTGTCGCACAAGTGTTTAATGTCCTCCCTTACAAGTTAAGAGTCTGGTGCTTCTGTATCGCACCACGTATCTACAGGGGTGTTGTTCAGCAGAAATATCACAATAGGCAGAGAAAGTACGTACCGTTGGGGCAGCGAAAAGCGCATTGAACCCAAAGAACGTTTCGCATTGCACACCGTGCCAAGTCTATTTCTGAGCCTTTCTCGATCCGAGACACGCGCTCGTTGCATGCATTACCGATATCTCAGCGCCCTCTGTGGATGATACCAATATCAGCCTTTACTCGGACACAGCGATATAAAGAAAAGAAAGGGACTGACCAACGCTAACATCCAAAACATCCAGAACATCGGCTTTCCGTTCAACAACCTTATAACCCTCCCGAAGCTCCTTCATAACCTTCCCCCCTCCTACCCCTCCCTTTCCCCCAAGGCCAGTCCCCAACCCCTTCGTCGGACTCGCCATAACAACCAACTGCTCACGCTACTCCCTCCACTTCCCCAAATACCTCACTCGTTCCACAAGCTTCCCATGTGCCGGAACAACTTTAAACTTCTCACTGCTCTTCCTCGTCACCTCCCTCGCGACGTTCGTGAACTCTTGCGTGAGACCACCCACATCCCCAGGGCCGTCGTTTGTGAGAGGAGATGTTTGAAGGTGGTCTAAGGTGTGGATGCCAGCCAGTGGAATGTTACGATCCTAAGAGGGACGTTGTGGAAATCTCATGAGGTTGCTTCAACGAGTGGGAGAGCTCGACGGATTAGGTAGGGCGACAGTTTGATTTTCCGGTTTAGGTGGGAGAAGATGACTGTTAGCGATTCGTGTACTTAGTCCAGGTCGATGGAGGAGAGAGGAGATAGTTTAGCGGAAAGTCTTTCATTAGTTGTACACTGTCCCCATGGTAAGCCCCGAATACAACAACAAATCAGAGAAGGAGAGACCCACCGAGATCCGTAGCGGATGCTTCAACCTGGTATCAGCCATACAACCAACGGTGGCATGGAACCTCTTTGCATTCCTCAGTGCATCCATGACCGTTCCCACCTCCTCGCTCCTCAACTGCGCCTATACCCCCTCCAACGCTCTCTCAAGGCTCAACCCAAAATTAACTTCTTGCGATGCCTTGCCAGAGGAAACGTCCCTCGTGAGCTTGGTCACTGCATGGATGGTTTTGATCCAAGAATAGACGTGCGAGTGGAGAGGTTGAGAAGCGTGCAGTCGGCGGCTCTGAGGTTTGACGCGGTGTGGGAGATGTTGGGGCGCTGGACTTGCGATTGGGCCTTTTGAAAGTGTTAGTGGGAGGGATTTTATTGAAAGAAACAAGATAGCGTACCAACTCAACAGCCCGTCGAATGACGGACGAACAACCAAATTCATCTCCAAAATCAGAAATTTGTATGGCGTCTCGTCACTGCCAAAGAGATTGAGAAAGTGAAGCTGCGTAGATAGCGGTACAAGTGGGTCGAGGTGCGTTTCGTTTTGAGAGCGCGAGTTTTGTTATACGTGTTGGGTGGTATGTCAGTTGTGAGGTGAGTTGGTCCGTCATCTACGTCGCTTCTATGTGAATATATGAATGGAATGACCCAAAATTGCGTGGAGCACAGACCTCATCAAGCTCAGACAATACTTTTCCGATATACGAACCACGCAGGGCCGACATGGGATGAGGGACAGACGCGGATTGAGACAAAAAGGGACTGGGTGCGAGTGACGACAATTGTTGGGAGGTTGTCAGAGAATGTAGAATGTGCATGTGTGTTCCAGAGAGAGATCGTGGAGAAATAGTACAAAGTTTGAGTCTCCGATCAGCAAACACCCTCAGAGTCTGACGCCCACCATGGAAGCTCTTCGTATTCTCACATCGATAGATGAACCACCTTCACAATTGCTAAAGTCAAGGATTCCCAGATCGACCGTCATTTTTGACTGCACCTTGTGAGAATCTATTCCAAATCTATTCTATATGTATTCAAGTTCCATGAACACCATCGCCCACTTTTGCAGACCCAAATATAGGGACAGGAAATTTCACATTTACAACCCTCATTGTCCTCTTCGAAGGGGAATCATTTGTTATTGCCGGAACGACACGATATTCGAGCACAACATCCATTCCTCTGGAAAACATGAGGTTGATTCACATGTTGCTCACTGAGATAGTCGTATACAACTAACTATGCTTTCAAGCCACGAATCATTGTCCCGAAACATCCGTCACGGACTTTCACAAAAATGTCGTTCGTCCCCGTCAAAGGCAATCGGATCCTCCTATTCGCAAAGTATAGAGAGTTGAGAATTGCCGAGTCCTGTCTACACCTATCAATCCATGAAATCCGCTCTGATCATCGTGTTGGTCCTGCTCTGTGGTCTTTCAATGGTAGTGTTCGTGGTCGCTTCGATATTCGTCATCTGAAGCTGATAAAATCCACCGAAAATGAATTGGGAATCACTTTTTGGGTGCGATTTGACGACCATTGGAAGCTGTTCGACATCTCTACTACCGTTGAAACTGATGCCTCAAATAATCTTCCTCTAATTGAGTCAGGGAGAATTGATTTTGATCTAAAGTTGAAGTGGAAGCTGGAGTCGTTTGGGAGTCCCGGTTTGTCTAAAATTTCATGCAGTCGTGTTGAACCTGCTCTGATGTTCTCCAAGTCATGCTATCCCCTGACACACGCATTCTCCTAGACATGGATGTAGAGAGACGACACAATGAAACAATTGACATTCACTATTTGGATCCTGTTGGTACAAACTTTTCCTTCGTTACCCGCCTGTCTATTCCCGTTGCAGAAACAGAATATTCACCACAATTTGCATTTTCTGCCGATGGGTCCAAGTTTGTTATGGCTATGGCTCGCGGCGGCGTGTTTGTTTGGGATACCCGAAGCAAAGTGCCTTTACGGACATTCACGGGAAACCCCTTGCTTATCCAGCCTCAACAATTCCTTCAATTTAACAGTGGAAATTTAGGAAAGGAAATTCTCGTATCTGTAGAGGTACGTCGTATATTCACATTCTGATGTCCCTACCTCTCAAAGTGGTCTGAATCCTTAGCACAATCGTTCAGATCTTGCAATCATTCATGTGATCGATGTGACGTCGTTTGAGACGAAAGAAAGGCTTTTTTTAAAGACAGAAAAATATTTTCCAGTTACGCTTTTCTTCGATCCAGACGGGAGAACTCTGTATGCTGAACATCGCGGAACACTCTACGAGTGGGACCTGCAAAAAAATAAGACTGGCCCTGAATGGTGGAGCGGGGATGAGTAGACTCATGTCTACCTCGACGAAAATTATTTTTTTGCCCCCTTTGTAGTTCATTACAGTAACGAGTTTTCAAGCAAGAGAATTCTGAAACCGAGTATATTCTTTAATCCCAACAAAGAAACTATATGCTGATACGGATGGAGCAATCTATGACTGAGCCCTGCCACAGAGAAGCGAGGGACGGGAATGGTGGCTTGGGAAGGAGGAGTACACTAACTGGGCAAAAAGATTGTCCGATCATTTTTTGGACAAAGTTGGTGCTATAACACAAGAATCAAACATTTTGAGAACTAAGCTCTAGTGTATAAAATATAGCTAAGGAGGTGTAGATTGTATATACCAAGTCTGGGGATGAACAATTGAAAACTCAGGATAAGGCAGGGAATTGACTGTGACAAGTGCCAAAAATGGGATGTAACAAAGTGGGAAATTCTGAATGACTGCAACCTACTGAAAGCAATTCACAACTTGAGGAAGAGATATTTTGAACACTGGATCTCCCTGCTATTGTTATGAGTTTCATAAAGTCTCTGGGCTAGAAAATTTTATATCCTCCTCTAAAAGGTAAATTTGAACTTATTCTCCATTTTATGTATTTTTCACTCAATATATTTGTTGGAATGAGGTAAAATAACTCCCTATTGTTGTTAGTAGTGTGTATAATACAAAAGGTAGGTAGAAATGTTAAAATGAACATTGCATGATGTCTGTAGAAGTTAATTCCCAGAGTTTTTCTGGAAGTAAACAAATATCTACAACATTGGTCCTTCTTTTCTGCAAGGAGAAAAAATGCTACCATCCTTTTGAATTGATCCATGGAGACTCAGGATGTCTTTTAAACAATGCCTGAAGTATAGCATGATAGCAAATAAATTTACACTGGGTATAACTTGAAAAGTCCCCAACAAAAGTGTTACGGTTGTTAAGCGTAACGGGCAGTTATGTTAAGCTTTCGAGTTCGATTGTTCGTTCGTCTACCACAGTTCTCGTCGTTGAGACAAAGTGGGTCACTACAATGTTCGCTTAGCCCTTAAAGTGACACAGTAGGTTCTAGTAGCCTTGCGCCCGAAGGTCAGTCCAAGGTTCTATGATACGCTGACTTCTGTTAAGTCAAACGTGTATTAAGTCTTCAACGTCGAAGACTTATCGTCAAGGTTTCAAAAGAGGCTCTAAGTCGAAAGACTATAGAGTTCGAGGGCGATCTTAGTTTCTGAGAGTCTGATGAGGGAGAACTAAGCTTAGATTGCCTAGGTTCAAGCTACCGAATACAAACGAAAAGTACCCTACTTATATACTAAGGGTATGAGTCAAGTATGAGTCAGAGGTATGAGTTCGTATGACTTGCGTAGAGTCATACGAGTCGTATCTAGTCTATAAGAGTCATATGAGTCATATGAGTCAAAAGGAATCTAGCTGGAGTGCGTGTCTAGAACTGTCCAGTATGGTCTAGATACGTCTTAGGAATATGTAAGTGTCTGCGCATATATATAAGAAAAAGAGTCTGTAACAAAAAGTAAATTTTGCATAGAGCAGTCATCCTGGACCAATCCTTGACATTTTTCTTGGTGGATTGGGGCTGAAAATATTTCACAAGGCACTTATCATGCCTAGTAACACTATCCAAAAACAAATAAACAGAGGTCCTATTTATACAAGGATCTGAGACCCCACAGCTTTCTTGCTCTATTCAAAATTTACTTTTGTTGGGGACTTTTCAAGTTATACCCAGTGTAAATTTATTTGCTATCATGCTATACTTCAGGCATTGTTTAAAAGACATCCTGAGTCTCCATGGATCAATTCAAAAGGATGGTAGCATTTTTTCTCCTTGCAGAAAAGAAGGACCAATGTTGTAGATATTTGTTTACTTCCAGAAAAACTCTGGGAATTAACTTCTACAGACATCATGCAATGTTCATTTTAACATTTCTACCTACCTTTTGTATTATACACACTACTAACAACAATAGGGAGTTATTTTACCTCATTCCAACAAATATATTGAGTGAAAAATACATAAAATGGAGAATAAGTTCAAATTTACCTTTTAGAGGAGGATATAAAATTTTCTAGCCCAGAGACTTTATGAAACTCATAACAATAGCAGGGAGATCCAGTGTTCAAAATATCTCTTCCTCAAGTTGTGAATTGCTTTCAGTAGGTTGCAGTCATTCAGAATTTCCCACTTTGTTACATCCCATTTTTGGCACTTGTCACAGTCAATTCCCTGCCTTATCCTGAGTTTTCAATTGTTCATCCCCAGACTTGGTATATACAATCTACACCTCCTTAGCTATATTTTATACACTAGAGCTTAGTTCTCAAAATGTTTGATTCTTGTGTTATAGCACCAACTTTGTCCAAAAAATGATCAGACAATCTTTTTGCCCAGTCAGTGTACACTGCATGAAATGGCACTGGCAGCAACAAGTCTGGACAGGCAGGCTTTCAGTACCCCAAACAACATCATGGGTACATATCCCAACCAATATATCGCATAACACTCGTTGTAAGTTAGCAACCCGGTGGCACCTTTCAAGCTCCCAAAAGTAACATATTCGACATCCTATGCAGAGGAGTGGTGGCTGACGACGATTTAGAGAAAGACGCTATAGATGGAAGATAGATTTAGGTAAAAAAGGATAGATTAGTTCACAGTAGGATAGAAGTGGGCGAAGCAATCCCGAAAAAGCAGAGGGAATTGAGAAGCCAACTCACCGGGAGAACTTTGTACGCTGAACATGGTGGAACACTCTGGGAGTGGGACCTGCAGAAAAAGACACATGGTCCCGAATGGTCGATCGGGGAGTAATAGGACGTCCCCCTCAACAAGAAATACTTTTTTATTACGCTGTTTGTAGTTCACTAGAATAATTTATGAGCATACATACAAGAAATCTATGAGTCTGGCATAGTGCATTGAACAAACCAACTTTGCTGCCCGCTGCGTCAAAGGAGTAAAGACCCGTCGTGGAGGATAGTAATACAGGTGTGGCAGGTACGATGCAAGGACGAGAAGGCAGATAGGCCGCAGTCTATGTGGGAAAAGGGGTATGTGGATAGACAGACCAACAAACTTGACTTCAGGTGAACGGGGAAACAATGAGTAGACACAGCTGGTAGTGGCCAGAAGACAAGAGCAGTCCCCTCCAGGGGAAAATAAAGAGCCCCTTACGGATCTGCCAAAAAATCATCGCTCGTTCCCGCATCTCTGAAAACTCGTGTAAATCCACCCACCCACCTCGCTACAGCCCATGCACCAAGACTGAGCCTATACACCAGAGCGCTTCCACTTGTCGGACAACCTTGTTTTCCTCCTTGTTCCACTTGAGCAAATCACATTTCGGAAAATGCATGTGGGTTTTTAGTACCCATAATCCCCTTTGCGAGTAACGGGGAAAGTTGAGTACTAATGGCCCGGAGATGGTGGTGGCGGGAGTGAGATGAGCCCTGCATCAAACACGATATAGCCCACTCTGAGACGAGCTGGTGTCGAGCGATACGAAAGCTTACCATTTTCACCTTCTTCGATCTGCTAACCGCAATGACTGTAGCACTCTACTAATATTGCAGTTTCAATTTTTTCGAGACTCCTCCTCCTCAACCTCGTCGAGCCGCTCCAAGGTGGACGTTTTGCTCTAATGTGATTTGTCGCTTCACAATGTCCCGTTTCGATGGAGGGCGGAGAGCCAAGGTAACCTCATCCACCAGTTCGATTATCCTGTTGGACCACATGGTCAACAAAATATCAGGGTAAATTGCTGCTGATGAAAAGGTGGGTGGTGACGAAGGCTGGATATAGAGGGTGCTTTCCAGAATCGTCTTGTCCGTCAAACACACTCTAACAATAGTCCTGTTTTTACCACACCCCCAAAACCGCGCTAGAAAATGTTTACATAATCTTCAGACTTTCAAACCGCGTTGCGTCAATATCACCTCGTCACCCTGGACTCTCGACGCATTTTTTGTCGCATGACTTGTCCTATCCCCTCAAATTCAACTGTAGCCTCTTCCAACTACTACTTACTATGGATAACAATGCTCGAACTGTCCGGTCTTACAGGAAAAACTCTGCAATTCAAGTACCAGCAACACCCGATTACATTTCATCATTTCTATCACAATCTACACCTAGTTCCACAAGTCCTACAGTGAATTCACTCGTCGCATCATCCCCTGATGGTCTTTCAGCCTCGTCATCCGTTAATTCCTTGGCTGCCTCCGCTTCTCCGTTCAACGCGCTTGGCTCATCGAGTCAACCAAGGTTAATTCAGCCTCGACAGAATGAAGAGGCGAAGCTAGAGGGAAAGTTTAAACGAATGGAAGAGTTTCTAGGAAACTCGGGCTTTGATTCTATTGGAGATTTTCTAGGGATCCTGTTCTACAACCCAACTCGTGTTGACGGAAAGGACGATCCTCGTGGTGTGACTCATGGACTGGCCGTCACTCGATTCCTTCAAGGAAAAACAAAGACCAAAATGTCCGAAATCATCGGTCTCATATATTCTCACAAGCACAGTGCCCCGTCACCGAGATCTACACAATATCACGAACGTCACGCCTCATTCTCGCCCTCCATCTCGCCTGCGGCTATCAACCATGCGCGTCCTTCGCTGTTTACTTGGGCAACCAACCTCGTCGGTAAACATGTCCATCAAGAGATACATAAGCTTACCATGAAAGACGACGACACTCAGCTTCATGCATCCACTAATGGCCAACGCCCAGAGGATAGCGTTAGACTGGTTACTTGGGAGATTTTGGGGAAATTTAGTATTGCTAGACTTTGTGAGAAGTACAAGGTGCGCGCGCCTGTCTCTTGGTATCTCACCGAGTCTATGGCTGCCTCGCGCAAAAATGGTGCTGTGATTACGAAGAAGCGGCGCCCCCATCCCATTGTACGTATTTCATCGGTACTTGCTGTTTATTTATGCTTAGCTCGTCAATTTAGGTACAAGTTGGCGCTATTGGCTCGTTTATCCTAACCCGAAACCATTATGCAAACGGAGACCTTGCGATGGCCCTCGGCATATGGCACTTTGCCGCCAAATCACACATCAACGTCAAACGTGTCTACAGCAGGTTTGGGAATATTGTAAGCGACATGACGGTGCGTAAGGCCCTAAACACCATGACTGGCTCGAGCCTTGCTTGTCTACGAGACTCGGTTAAGAATGCGACGGAGCAGGGAGAAACCGAGTGGTGTCTAGTGCTCGACAATGTCCAAGAGTATTGTCCGGTATACGAAGGGGGTATTTCGCGTGAAAGTATTCTTAAGGTCGGGACGGCAGCAACAGCAATCTGACTCGACGATTGCAAACCTGGTGCTTTTGATTTACAGAGTCACCTTGCACGCGTCGCTGAGAAGAAACACACTACAATGACTGTCGAAAGCATCAGGGCGGATATTGACTGGACTCATGTACACGCAATCCAATCATTGCATTGGGTTCGCGTTCTTGTCGACTACATCCCGGAACTCAAGCCCATGTCCAAAGAAATTTCAGCCAGGTTTTGCTCAGCACCACTTGCCAAGCATCGCATGCGTGAAGGTCGGAAAACTGTGGTGCAGCCGCTGGGAACCAACGCTGAGCAGGAGATCGAGACTCAAGGAATGGCGCGAGCTCTCATGGACTTTGACCATCAGATGGGTGTTGGGCCGGAAGCAGCAGACAAACTAATCTCATGGGTTTGTGGAGATGGTGCTTCACATGCGACAACACTTCGACTACAGAAGCACTTGTGCTCCATTCCTGATAACCACCAATCCTTCCGAAATCGTGTTTCTACTCCTGAAATTTGGCATGCAAGATCCACAATGATCAATTTCGTGAACCAAGGTACGACTTCACATGTATCGAAGTCTGTCTAGGAGAGACTACTCTAACAACATATCAATTCTCAAAAATCAAAGTAAACTCATGTTTAACCCCTCGCCCTGTGTCGCATTAAACCCACACAAAGCGCCAGGATGCTTGCTGTTGTCTTGCCTTTTGAGCCTGCCCGCTTAGTGGTCGTGTGGTCTCAGGAATGGTTGGACCTGCAGATGGGACGAGCAACCCCGACCGTGTTCTGGTCTGTGCGTTGCGTGTGAGTGTCGGTTCGCGTCGTATTCATGTGAGTCCGAGAAGCGGCAATGAGTGTTGGAAATAGAGGATGAACTGCTATTATGTACAAGTTTCTACAGTCCTTATATACCTAATTACTATGTATCTACCACGTTCTAGTGTTATCTACATACTCGGGATTACTAAGTTAATAGTCCGATATTACTAATTAATCAAGTGCAAGAATGTACTGGCAAATGCCGGATTGTACTATTCCAACACTCCTCCTCAATTCGGCATTTCCGAAGAGCTTTCAAAATAAATCCTAAAAATAGTTCCTTCATGTCTGTGCTGGTCACGTAGCATCAGCACCAGAATATCTGTAGATCATTCCTTAGATCTGCAGTCTTTTGCCTGATAAGCATCCCAAAATATATTTTCCCCCATTTCGGCAGGAGCCCCTCCTCAACTGCTTACTTGCTGATAGCCTGGGAAATTCCATAATTCCTTCAATAACATGCATCACCCAACAATGCAATTGCAAATTGTGATGTTTCCTTTGTTGGTGAATCATTGATATCTTTTCCATCAGCTGTTTTGACGGCTTTGCAATGTTGTGAGATATGTCTGGTGCGTCCACAGCGATAGCATGTGTGATTATCAATTAATCCTTCACGGCGATCCCGATTTGGGCCTCTGTGCCCACCTGGTCCCTTTCCATCATTATTGATGCCATTACTATATAGGGCAATCTCTGTGCCTGGCCCTCCTTTTCGTTGTTCCTCCTCGAGCAATGCACTTTTAACATCAGTGGTTTTTAATTCTTCCTTTGATGCGATAAGTGATGTAGCTATGCTTGAGTATTCATTGTCCAAATTAAATATAAGGACATCTGTAATGTCTTGATCTGAGAGTGATACTCCAATGGCATTGAGTTTTCTCGCCAGATCTGTGATGCCGTTGACATAAGCGGAAATTGATGCGCTCGTGTCATGCTCAAATCCATAGAATTGCCGTTTAAGGTTAATGCGCATGGATCGACTGTTCTTCTTGTAAATATCCTTCAGCGCTTTCCATGCTTCTGGTCCATTTTTAGCGTCGCGTATGTATGTGTATTGGCTCGGCTCGACGGTAAGCGCAATCAACGTGAATCCTTCCTCAGCTTTAGTCTCCCATGATTTCTCTGCCTCCTTTGTGGATGGTTTTTCTTCTTCCCCTGAAGTCACCTTCCAACATCCCTTCTGCCGAAGCACTATACTGACTGCAAATTTCCAGTCATGGCTATTAAGCTTTGTGATGGTCGCAATTATTCGATCACTTGACATGATGCTATAAATAGCTGCAAGATAAGATAGGGCAGCAAGTGCGCAAGTGCAGTAAAAGCAGTGAGTCTCTTTACTGGGGGCTGGGGCCCATAACCTGTTGGAAATAGAGGATGAACTGCTATTATGTACAAGTTTCTACAGTCCTTATATACCTAATTACTATGTATCTACCACGTTCTAGTGTTATCTACATACTCGGGATTACTAAGTTAATAGTCCGATATTACTAATTAATCAAGTGCAAGAATGTACTGGCAAATGCCGGATTGTACTATTCCAACAATGAGGTTTCTGGACGCCGCAGGCGGACCGCGGCAGGTACTAGGTAGGCATTGGTTATGATTTGGTTATGATGATTCAAGTTGGTGTTTGATTGCCCGATCCCTTGTGAATCAAACAAAGAAAAACCAGCAGACTCGCTTTGTTTAGCTTGTCGGATTCTGCCAGCTTTCCCAGCTGCAGCCTTTTCCACCCCTCACCTTCCACCACTTGATCCACCGAGACCTCTGATCCTGGCCCTCATGACTCCGAACTGTGTTGTCACAAAGACAAAAAACAGTGACTCGATTACACGATTATTGTGTTGTTAGTAAACGCCGCTATGCATTGAATTGACTGTTTTACAGTAGGACAGCTTTTGAACGCAGACGTCCACGGGCGTCTGAAGAAATTAAAGGTTGCGTGACGTCATCAGGATTTTTTATTATTGTTTTCAATGTTTTCTCGGCAATCATGTGGAAAGTAAGTAGTTCCCGAACGTTGGCTTTTATTGTTCTATTTTCATGATCTGGCAGATTCCCGTGCAGAAACACTTTGACAATAAAGCCTAGACAGGACGGATTGAGATGTCTATCAGAGGCTTCCGGAGCATTGGATTCAAGGTGACCGTCAAGTTTAAAAGGGAGCACTGTTCAACGACAAATATCCAGGCTGCTCCGCGTCCTAAACATCTTCTGAGCTCACTGTTCTTAACATTCTCCCGAAATTGCTCTCATGGATTCCTTCGCTACCCTCGCCACTTTTTTCGCCTCCATCTCTGGCTCCAGTGATATTCCAACCAACGCCGATGACGGTGGCAGCGGGAACAACGCATACTGCGTCGTTGCTTGAGATTTTTTCTGTTCACAATGCGGGATAACAATTCATGTACGTTCATTGCTGTTTTTTCTCCTCATCTATTCAATACTCTCCACTCTAGAATTATGCCCTAATTTGACGACATTCAATGACTCATTCAATCATTACACCTCATTCAATTCACTCATCATTCACTCAACAAACACATTGGTTCATTTGGGATTCATTTTTTATTTTTTTATTCGACGTTGAAGGCATTTTTAGTCGCGCATCGCGCGTGCTACATTATATATTACTTCTGATCTGGGTTTCGTTAGCACTGTCGGGATGTAGCTAAGGTTGATGAAATGATAGTACGCGAAGCAATGCAAAGTGAAGAACATAGGAGATTCAATTAAGGATGCGATTTCGAAGCTGAGGTATGTACCACAGGGCATTCAGTAGATACCCAATGGGACCATAGTAGTTCACATGGTCAATTGTCCAATGTACCATAGGGCTACCCCAATGGGCCCAATCGTAGTTGGCACCATTTGGGCATAGTTTGGCCCAATGTCTGTGAGACGTTAAGCTGGCATTGTTGGGGCCAAGGTAACAAAACTATGAGAAGCATAATTGGGCCCAATGAGGGATACACAAAAAGAATTGGGCCCATGATAAACTCCCAACAGCCAAGGTTGGGCCCAATATTCCAATGGTATTAATTAGGCTATACTGCATTGTTGGGCCCAATATGTAATTAGGCTATATTGCATTGTTGGGCCCAATGCTCAGTGTAACAAATGCCGAATCCGGCGGAACCATAACCCTAGCCCTGGTAATCCCTGTCTAGCCGAAATCCAGTCAGATGACATCGCCTCCAGCACAAAATGGGATACACTTTGCAAATACCATCGGTAGCACACAGGTAGGCCATAAATCAATATTTCCATATTGGCGTAGAATCATGTTAATCACTTGAATTCATTTCGGGTAATAGATAATAGCTGGACATGTGACAGCCACTCTGTATGCAGGGATAGCATGAGGCATGCTGTATAAAGGACACTTTCTTTGCATTTAAAGGTCAATACCTCCTGGAATATTGTGTTGCCTCCTGGAGTGCACTCAGTACATGTTAAAACAGAAGATTTCATCGGCTGGTTGTGCCGAAATCCCTCCGGAAATATTGTGTTGCCTCCCAAAAACTATGTGCACTCAATAGATATTAAAACCAAAGATTTTATCAGCTGGTAGTGCTGAAGTACCTCCGGGAATATTGTGTTGCCTCTTGGAGACTATGTGCACTCAACACATGTTAAAACCGAAGATTTCATTGGCTGGTTGAGCCGAAATCCCTCTGGAAATATTGTGTTGCCTCCCAAAGACTATGTGCACTCAATAGATATTAAAACCGAAGATTTTGTTGGCTGGTAGTGCCGAAGTACCTCCGGAAATATGGTGTTGCCTCTCAAAGAATATATGCACTCAACACGTGTTAAAACCGAAGATTTCGTCGGCTCGTAGTGCCGAAGTACCTCCGGGAATATTGTGTTGCCTCTTGGAGACTATGTGCAGTCAATAGATATTAAATCCGAAAATTTTGTCAGCTGGTAGTGCCGAAATACCTCCAGAAATATTGTTTTGCCTCCCCGAAAATATGTGCATTTAATACATGTCAAAACCGAAGATTTCGTCGGCTGGTAGTGCCGAAGTACTCCCGGAAATATTGTGATTTTGTCAGCTGGTAGTGCCGAAGTACCTCTGGAAATATTGTGTTGCCTCTCGGAGAATATGTGCATTCAACACATGTTCAAACCGAAGATTTTGTTGGCTGGTAGTGCCGAAGTACCACCGGAAATATTGTGTTGGCTCTCTGAGAATATGTGCACTCAACACATGTTAAAACCGAAGATTTCCCCGGCTCGTAGTGCCGAAGTACCTCCGGGAATATTGTGTTGCCTCCCAGAAAATATGTGCATTCATTACATGTTAAAACCGAAGATTTCATGGGCTGGTAGTGCCGAAATATCTCCGGAAATATTGTGTTGCCTCCCAAAGACTATGTGTACTCAATAGATATCAAAGCCGAAGATTTCGTCGGCTGGTAGTGCCGAAGTACCTCCGGAAATATGGTGTTGCCTCTCAGAAAATATGTGCATTCATTACATGTTAAAACCGAAGATTTCATGGGCTGGTAGTGCCGAAATATCTCCGGAAATATTGTGTTGCCTCCCAAAGACTATGTGTACTCAATAGATATCAAAGCCGAAGATTTCGTCGGCTGGTAGTGCCGAAGTACCTCCGGAAATATGGTGTTGCCTCTCAAAGAATATATGCACTCAACACGTGTTAAAACCGAAGATTTCGTCGGCTCGTTGTGCCGAAGTACCTCTGGGAATATTGTGTTGCCTCTTGGAGACTATGTGCAGTCAATAGATATTAAATCCGAAAATTTTGTCAGCTGGTAGTGCCGAAATACCTCCAGAAATATTGTTTTGCCTCCCCGAAAATATGTGCATTTAATACATGTCAAAACCGAAGATTTCGTCGGCTGGTAGTGCCGAAGTACTCTCCGGAAATATTGTGTTGGCTCTCTGAGAATATGTGCAGTCAACACATGTTAAAACCGAAGATTTCCTCGGCTGGTAGTGCCGAAGTAACTCCGGAAATATTGTGTTGCCTCTTGGAGACTATGTGCCCCCCACCCATGTCAAAACAGAAGATTTCATCGGCTGGTTGTGCCGAAATCCCTCCCGGAAATATTGTGTTGCCTCCCAAAAAACTATGTGCACTCAATAGATATTAAAACCGAAGATTTCATTG